GCAAATATTTGCTTGAAGACAATGCAATCTGTTCCATCATTAGCAAGTCATTTTGGAATCAAATTTTAAGGTTGCATTTGCCAGACCGATGAAAACGAAGCCTCTTGTATGGAAGGCGGCCTCAAACACATCTCTTCTCAGCTCTGCAGTGTTTTCTTAAACACCAACCCGAAATGACAGCTCTCTCTCTCCATCTCTTCCGTGTTTTGAAAAGCAGTGAAGTACTGGCATTTTAAAAGTGAAATCAGTGTGATTTCAGTATCTTCTGAAACCAGCAGGAAATTCACCGCGTTCAGCTCTCTACAAACTCAGACAGATACAGCTAAAATGGTCTGGATGACTAAGATTTTTTTAGAGCCTCTCTGCAACCAGAAAAACCAGTTGCAGGATTGCAGAGAGTATCTGGAATAGGCAGAACAGTAGCAAAATGCGTGATTGTTTAGAAATCAAGGGGATGTGCTTGAGGAGAGGGGAGTGGGATTAATTATGTTTCAACTAAACCAAGTTTGATAGCTAGACATTAACAGGCAGATGTCAGTATGAAAGGCTGAGATTTCAAGTTAGGCAGAAAAATACAAGTCCTGGGGAGAGATGTTGAACTGAAAGTGAACTACAGAGAGAATTTACCAAGATGGTCTCGTGGATGAGGCTGGTGGAGAGGAAAATGAGAATGAAGCCAAGAATAGACTTAGGACAGAATAATTCAGGCTGCAAGGGACCTCAGGAGGTCACGGGTCCAGTCTTCTGCTCAAAGGAGGGTCAGCGAGAAGGCCAGACCAGGTTGCTCAAGGCTTTATTTAGCTGGGACTTGAAAACCTCTGAGGATGAAGAGTGCACAGTCTCTCTCAGCAATCTTTTCCAATGCTTGACTGATCTTAGTGATTTTCTTCCCCCCCTATATCCACTCAGAACTTCTCTTGTTTCAACTTATCCCCATTGTCTCTTGTCCTCCTGTCGTTCACCATTGCAAAGAGTGGGCTTTTCTTCTCGATAACCTCCTCGCAGGTCCTAGCAGGCTGCTATTAGGTTGCCCCTGAGCCTTTTACCCATTTGCAGGGAACTTCAAGAGAATGTAAGACAAAAAAGAGAGGAGAAATCTACTGAAGGTCTCATAAGAGAAAAGAAACAGAGCTAGGGAGAGCAAGGAATGAGGAGAGAACTTATTCTGCAATTTAGGGAGGGGATAGTCCCCAGAGCTTTTAGGAAAAGCAGTTTTAGTTAAGCTCATGATGCAAACAAAAGGCAGAGCAGACAGTGCCTGGGATGAAACGTGGCGCAAGGAAAATCAATGCAAAACAATGATGTAAACTATTAGCAAGAGGGGCTGAAAGGAGAAGAGCAGGTAGAGCTTGTGGGAAGTGCAAACGGGTGAAAGGAGAAAAAAAAAATATGAGTAAATACAGCCAGTGAGCTGTACTTCTTGGCAACAATTGGTTTTGGCCGTCTCCAGTATGCCTCTGAATCATCTTCAGCTGTCACAGACCCTCCAGCCTAGTTCAGGTCCCCAAAGAGGCCTTTATCCTCACCGGAGGATCACGGGGCAAGGAAATACCACAAGGACTTCACAGCAAACCAATGACATTTCAAACCAGTTATCGGGACACACACAGTCCTACAAACTTCTACCATATACATTGGTTACTGACTCATCTGAGACCGAGAACACTGAAGGGGAGAGCTATATTACTGAATAAAGACTTTTCTGGAGACCTTAAAGAGCCTATAGATTTATAGCAGCTGATAATGATTCAGACACCCTGAGTCAGTCAACCTAGATCTTGTCACTGCAAAGATGAAGTACAATGAAACGAGAAGTTGTGCAAACTAGGCCATTTGTGTCATACTGATAGACAAGATGAACTTCTCTGACCTTGCCTTCAATAACAAGCATACACAGCACAGCAGACAGTCAATAAGTGCAAGAACACCTCTCTTCGCACTCTTCCTCAAAGAAAAAGGTTAAAAACTCACAAATTATAAATGGCTCGCTGTTCTCTCCTGTAATCAGGAATAGCACCAAGCAGCCCTGCCATAAAATGGAGCTCTGAGCCCTGAACAACAGGCAGGCATGGGTATTCAGTAGTATTCAGGACTGCAGATGAACTCTCAGCAAGGACAGCAGAAAACTTAGTTCCAGACACATCTGGTAAGTCTTGTCCGTAACTCTCCTGCCCAGACTTTTCCAGCCACAGCTCGGAGGTTGCTCATGAGCTCTGTAAAGCTAAAAGCTAACTCCAAACAGACATGACTTCCTCGCTGACTTTCTGTTCCCTACTACATAAATCCCATGGACAAATTCTTCCCTGGCTCTCATACCTATCCTACTCCATCCCTGGTTTCTAATGGACTTCTGCAGGATCTGTCTCTGCACTCCCATGTCCCATAGCAAGTCACAACAGGATACGGGCCAAGACTGGATGGGGAAGGGTCTCCCAAGCATTTCTACCTTGGTCTCCTCCCACAAATTCTCAGGGACCAGTTGTTCCTGAAAGTCTTAAGACTGCAGCAAGTCAACATTTTATTTAAGCTAAAGGGATTACCTTAAATAATCTATTGAACTATTGAAGAATAGTTCCTCTTCTGGGCATGAAAAATTTAGTCTGGCTAAAACAAACGGTAAATTTCACAGGATCAAATCCAAAACACATAAATCTTTACTGTTTTGGCTGCTTTGTTTATTGGGAAGACCTAAACGTTTCTGGTTTGGGGGTAGAAGGAGTCCTACTTTTTACTGCTCTGAAAGCATCATCACAATACATTCATTTGCCAAGCAGCTCTGGTTACTATTATGCACTTACATTCTTTGATCACGTAGGAGTCCCATTCACAGAGTAAGACCAACTTGATAACCACAAATAAAACCTTCAGAGCACCTAAAGGATTTCACAGTATCTAGAGGGTTAATACTGTGATGCATCACTATGGTGCTTCTGCATCTAGAAGAGCTTGATCTATTTTTGAAGACTGAAGGGATTCGATACCACTTGAGCTGTAGGCCTCAAAAACTCAGTGTGCTTAAATAAAATGAAAATAAAAGGAGCAGGTTCACAGAACAGCTATGCCCCATTATGAAAAAACAGCTTATCTAAATTCAGATGGCACTGGATCCATTTAAAATGCCTGTAAGAACAACACGCTACTGTAAAATAGAAACATGAAGCTGTAATGTAACGTACTGCATGCTGAAGAGCATTGATTTTTTTTACCCATCCTTAGAGAACAAGGTGCACCTGAGTGATATCAATGGAAAAAACATTTAGCAGACAGGTCTTGCACTTGCCCAGTTTAGCCTTCTGCTCCATCCCAGAGCAGGCTGTGTACTATTTAAAGGGAACAGACTGATGTAGGGGAGTGAGATTGTATTTCAGGTTAATCATTACAATCCATACTTTTTCTTTGGACTTATTTGATTTGTGGAATTACGTCTTTCAATAAAGGTCACAACGCATGACAGTCAATTAAGTCTAACACGTACAAATGCATGTCATCCCATCTTCTTCCAGGGGTGCAAAAACTCCACCACCCCCACAGTTAAACAAACCTCTCCCTCATTAACTTTCCCCAGCTAATGTCTGAGATGACGCATCAGCCTTTGACTGCCAAGTGACCTGTGCTTCTGTCACAGCAGCCAGGGCACCACATGAGAAACATCTTGTCCATTGAGAACCTTTAGCTTGAGTATTTCAGGAGACCACAGCTGTCTAGGGGGTCTGAGAAGAGACACTGTCTCTCAGAGATAACAAGCCAGGCAGAAAACAGCTTTCTGAAGAAATTTATACCTTTTGATTTCTACACAAAACTGTCCCTTTGAACAATTTCACTGCAGCTATTTACCAGCAGCCAATTAAACTATGCAACAATGATTAAATAAAAACCAGCTAAACATTTATTATTTGGTTCTAAACATTGGATATGAGGCATGGACAGCAAATACTAAGACTATTAGAAAGACTCGTTAGAACCTCCACATGAAAAGGCAGATCTTCCAAGTTCACATTTTCTAAAGCTAAGGTTTTATCCCTCTCACCTTCAGGAGATTTGCACTGGACAGTAACTAATCACTTTAAAAGGGATCTTAAAGTCACTGTAAGTGCATGATGAACCCCCTTGGCAAGTGGCAAACAATTGCAGTGCTACCTGCCTGAGACCTGGTCTCTGACAGGCTTTATCAGCCATTCAGCTGGCAAGCAGTGATTTGGCTGAAGTACCACGTCTGAGGAGAACCAACATTGCAAACACTCAGAAAACTGTGCCTTCAAATAAGGGATTGTGCTGATTTGACTCCATCTGTTTAATGCATTAATTCAATTAATTTATTGGGAAAATTCAGTGTAGATGAGGACCAAACCCCCTAATCAAAGGGAAATGTCTCTCTGACAGACTGACACTTTCACCCCTAACAATCTCAGTGAAATACTAACATTAAAAGCTTAAGGATAATTTTTTTTTAATCCAAATTAACTATTTGACTGTGAACACTTTAGCGGCTAGAATGAACAAAGCATCAAGTGTGAAAGCCATGAAACAGGAGAAATGAGAATTGTCAGAAGGAGTAAACACAACAGGAAGACTGAAGGAGACAGAAAAAGGAAGCTTGGGAAAAAAGGAGAAAAAAGGAAAGGAATGTGATAGCTAAAATGAAAAAGATTTTCTTGCTGAGACATGCCAGCTGTGAACAACAACAAAAAGACACTTAAGGTACCACGATTATTAGCAACAGTCCTACAGTCATTCTCACAAAGATTACGTCCCCATCCAATATTCCCAATCCATGGCAAGCAGAAAGAGACTCCTAGTATTTAAAACTAGTTCATAGACCAGAATTAAAAAGCAGTCTAATTTTCCTCTGCCTAGGCTGGTCTCTCACACCACCATCCAGCCACTGCTGCTCAATTCGTTTCTGGCACACATGTGGCAGATATCTAGTGGATACCAAAGGGGCAAAATCACCAACTGAGAAGATCCCACAGATCAAGCCAAAAACTTCTCATTTTGCTCACCCTGCCATCACTTCTAAATGGAGCTGGCCAGAAACTGTCAGGAAGGCAGGCACATTGAAGAAATGGATCTTTTCCGCAGATTGCCTTGTCTCATCCGATGTCTGTAAGCCGAAAAAAAAGAGCAAGAAGTCAGACTATTGGTGTTTGAATAAAAAGCACAGCTCCTGGCTTATTTTCTTTCCCTTGTTTCTCTTAAGAAATTCCATGAGATTCAACCCAAAGACTGCTGAGAGAGAATCCAACAGTGTGGTAAGTCGCCATACAACGCTCCCCATCTTTGCTCTAAAACGTATTCAAGCAAAACACATTAAGAAAAAACCCCACAAGACAAAGCATCCTTGGGGGGTTCTGTTTCTAGGGGTCCGATACAAACAATGTGTCTGTGTAGTGAAAAGCCATACTTTAAGTGGGGAACACCACAGCCACTTTTAGTGCCTTATGAAGATATGGGCTGTAGGTACTGCAACAACTTGCAGAACAAGTTTGTGAACTGGGACACATACCTCCAGTGTCACCAGCAAAGCTTGGACACGTCAGTACAGAGGAAGGATATGCAGTTCTTTCAGACATTTCTCAAACTAACAGGGATTATAAATTGGATCCCCAGCAATTAATTATATCAGTTCAGTGAGCGGGAAGTCACTTGTTAAGATGACACAGCTCCATGGAGTTTGACTGTTTGCCCAAAACTTTGCAGGCAGCACAGAGTTCGTACAAAGCTAAAAGAATATGTGGCTCTTCACTTTTCACCTCTCGCCTTTGTATGAGGGTATGTCAGGAGCAATAAACATATTCACCATTTTACAAGCAAGTCTGAGAATAAGAGTGGTAGAAATGCAGATTTTCTGGAGTAGCCTCTGATTTTTGGCTCTCCGGTAAAGTAACACTTATATAGCTAAGGGCTCGTCTGCCTAGGAGTTTGGGAACAGGTGGAGAAGCCACATCCGATGTTTCTGGGAAATGCAGACATACAAAATGAAAATCCCTCTGGAACATCTGTTGAGGAACATTTTGCCCAGCAACATACAAAAGAAAGATGCCAGACCATCGACCCAGTCTCTAAACATAAGTATTGATTTTTAACTCTTTCCTACCAAGATGAACAGTGAGGGGTGGAAGGGAAGAATCTCCATCATTTGGAAGTTTGAAGCTTCATGCAGCATTGCCTTCAAAATTCAATTTCAAGTTTGATGAAAAAATGGAGAAGTATCTTCTGTGTCAGGTGCACTAACTTTTAGCAGACTTAAAACCAGCACTATTTCCTTTTCATGCACAAATGAATTTGTTTCCATTGCAAAAAGACCAACAGTAATAAGAAAAAAAAAAAAGGAATGCAATATCCTCTTAAGACTTGTTATTCAAAAAAAGCAGAACTGAAACAATATGGAGTTGGAAACATCACAGCTTACACATTATATAGGCACTGAAAAACAAACTACGTTTCATTTCAGTTTTTGTATATTTTTTTCAGGTCACCAGATATCTTAAGCATAAAAAACAACAAGTAATGGAAAATTTAGCAAGTTCAGTGTTTCATTATGAAAAACGGTCTAAAAAAATGTCCCATTAAAGTGATGGTATATTTTTGCTTTTTAATTTACAGGGACAAAAGAAAAATTAGAAGACGTTTGTGTCGAGCACTTTAAAAGTCATTTGAGCATAAGGACTGTGCTTCACCATCTCCCTGGCAGACGCCAAGCTGACCATAAGACAGCAAGGAGCCCTCATGGCAACGAAAGTCACCAGCCTCCTGGGCTGCGTTAGGCAGAGCATTGCCAGCAGGTCAAGGGAGGGGATCCCTCCCCTCTGCACTCACTGGTGACTCACCGAGATCACTGGGTGAAGCGCTCTCCTCCCCAGTGCAGGAGAGACACGGACATACTGGAGGGAATCCAGCAAAGGGCTGCAAAGATGATTAATGGAATGGAGCATCTTTCATATGAAGAGAGGCTGAGAAAGCTGGGACTGTTCAGCATGGAAGGGAATGAAGAAGGAACCAGACTCATCTCAGCTGTGCTCACTGAGAGGACAAGAGGCAACGGGCACAGATTTTAAAAAAGACACACGAAATTTCATCTGAAAACAAGAATAAGCTTTTTTATTTACCATGAGGGTGGTCAAATACTAGAACAGGTTGCCCAGAGAGGCTGTGAAGTCTCCATCTGGGGAGATACTAAAGACTCGGCAGGACAGAGTCCTGGGCAACTTGCTCTAGCTGACCCTGTTTGAGCACAGTGACATGGATTAGACGATCTCTAGAGGTCACAGTTCTGTGACTTTTAAAAAAACATGAAGATAAATGAGATTTTTGTTTCAGCATTTCCTATATTTCAATGTCATCCCTAAGCTTTGGAGGAGTCAAAGGTTCAGGAGAAAGACAAAAGAAACTTCGAAGCTAATCTGAGGTTTGGCTGATCTACATTCACTTCCAGAAGAATGCTTTCTTCTGAGATAAGTCTGAAATACCCACTTTTCAAAGTATAGTTCCTAGGAGTTATGCTAAGTGTTGCTAGCTCAGCTAAGTATGCCACTGCCTCCAGCCACCCTACTCCCCAACTTGCTTTGTCACAGGGAGGCTGCTAGGCTCAGGCTTGTTCGCCAGCCTTTGATATTCTACAACCTGACATTTTTCTCAATGAGTCGGAAGGTGTTGCTTCTGTTCTCAAAAAGCTCTGCTGCTCATCACAAAGATAAAACAGAGACTGCCGAAGACCTCAGATCACAAGGCAGTTTTATCTCTTCACAGCATCACACTAAAGAAAAGAGCAAGCTTGCCTTGCTCCACAGAGATCAATGGAAATATGACAATTTGTGGCTGTAACCCCAGGACTGCTTCCTTTGTTTCATAGGTTTTGCAGTTCTAAAAAAACCAAACAACAAAATCCAAGGATGCAGAAGCAGGCCCCTATTGTTTTCTTCAAATAAACCCAGAGTATTTGCTCAAAAACAATAAGGATATTAATAAACATTCAAACATCCACATACCACAGCCCCAGAGCCAATGGCCAGGACACTAAAGAGAAGAGCCATGTACCACTCCAGTTTCTCCTACTGCAGGCTTAGTTCAGCTACATTCCTTGTTCCACCAGTGAAAAATCCCACCTAATCCTGTAGGATGCAACTTCTAAACAACAAGAAAGAGACAGACTGGAAGCAGGAAAAGAACAGAAGAAATCAGCCATGAAATCTCAACACTTCCCCCCCAAATCCACAAACAGGATACAGCTGTCTCCAGGAGCTGGGGCTTGGTTTATTTATAATGACTTCGTGTCATTTTTCATTCTCCAAATCAGATGTAATCTCAAGGAGGCAAAGAGAAAATAGACACAACAGTAAGTGACTGGAGGAAGAGTGTGAGAAAGTCTACAGCTCAAATGGACTTATAAAAACCTGCAGCCAGTTTGAGAGGCCACTGAAAGATCCTGAGATGCGGGTCTGCATTGCGAGCAACTCCTGGATGGCTTCCAACAGAAGGTGAAGCGTGAACATAGCAATATTTAGATAAAATTTTACTCCCCCATCACCATCTGATTGCCTTGCCTCTCCATAGCTACCCACTTCCTTCCCTCATTTTGAGACACAAAGCTTGATGAACAGGTGTTGTGAGCTGCAAAATCAATCCACCTGCTACACAGAGAAAATGAAATGCCTCCCTTTTCCTTGCTGAAGGGACCCCTTTAAAGTAAAGTAAAAAAGGTTCCTCCACTTTACACATTCAAGCACAGGATCAGGCCAATGTTTTCAAGTGCCTGTGCCCCAGATTTGTGCTTAGCCTTTTAGATCAAGCTTGCTTCTTTATTATAAACAACCACAGTCACTGGTAGAAGACAAATAATAAATAGCAGGTGATGCTATCCCTTCACTGCTGACACTGAGCGAGATTGTTTTTCATGTTCATGACTAGCAAAATGAAGTGACAACATTGTAGTGCTTTTATTTCAATTAGATGGACTTTTCTCCCACTTCCCAACCCCAAAATACCTACTTGATAAAAGATTAGGGGGAATAATGTGTTTGCTTTCAAGTTCTCTCCACTCCCTAGTGGAAAACTACCCAAATTACAATGGGGAAAGAGGGAAGGGGAATCTGTATGAAACATCTTGGTGTCTCCAAGTAAACATGCTGTAAACATACTAGGATTCGACATCAACATCAAAGGCTTTTTATTCTCATTCTAAATACAGAACAACTGGATTTAGTACCTGTTTTGTCCTCCATCTCCTCAAATGTCTCATGATTTAATTTAAAATTATTCCCTTTGATGTCAGTCTTATATTAACTTTTACTTGAGGCAATTAGCTTCAGGAGAGTATAAACCGTTTGATTCCATCTTTCACTCTATGCAAGCCAAATGCGTGAAGGAATCAGAGAAGACTTGAAAAGCTCATAGAAATCACTGCTGTAGCTGTAGCCCAGACCCACAACACCATGCTGCTGAAGATTTACAGCACCACATCTTTAATCTGCACCTGCCCTCTGTGATGTCCCATTATAAACATGATTACATTTTCCTTTTTAGACAACCACTGCAAAATTCATAACTTCTAAGAAGTCCACCTTGCAATTCCAGTCCTAATTCTGATCAGCTGGACTTGCATTGGGCAATAGCAGCTGGTTCTGCTGAGACAAACATATCATAAATATGGACTGGAATTACAGGCAGAGATGAACCAGGTAGAAACAAGCAGAACCTGGGAGACCTAGAAAAGGCAAGAGCAAGCCCTCCCTCAGCTCAGTTCCAGCTTACGCTGATCCCAGCTTAGCACCTCTCTGAAGTCCCAGGCTCCCACGGACTGGCTGCCTCCCAGCCAGCGATGCATCTCTAAGGAGAAAACACCTGACAGACACTAATACTGTTGCAGTTAACTCTGATTCCCCCCAGCAGACTCCGGCCTTCCTTAGTGCTGACAAGGCTCTTTTTCAGCAGTACCAAAGGAACACCAAGTTGGGCGGGAGTGTTGATC